TCCTCAGTCGGTGATGCCCTGCACAATGTCAGCTTCTGGATTGGGGACCACACAAGGATGACAGACTCAGAAGGAGGAGGATCAGCGTGAGGTCAGGAGTTCGAGACCAGCCTGGTCAACCTGGTGAAACCCCAACTCTACTAAAAATATAAAAATTAGCTGGGTGTGGTGGTGCACGCCTGTAATCCCAGCTACTCAGGAGGCCGAAGCAGGAGAATTGCTTGAACCTGGGAGGTGGAGGTTGCAGTGAGCCAAGATTGCGCCACTGCACTCCAGCCTGGGTGACTCCATCTCAAAAAAACAAATGAACAAACAAACAAACAAAAAAGCATGATCAAACTGCCTGTGCTTTTCAAAAGCAGATTTGGGGTGAGAGAGTCATCTTCTCACAGAGCCTGGCCTGGAGTCACGCACAAAGACGTCAAGGGAGGCCAGGCGCCATGGTTCACGCCTGTAATCCCAGGATTTTGGGAGGCTGAGGCGGGTGGATAGCTTGAGCTCAGGAGTTTGAGATCAGCCTGGGCAACATAGCAAGACCCTGTCTGTACCAAAAGTACAAACAAACAAACAAACAAACAAAAACGAGCTGGGTTGATGGTGTATGTCCGTAGTCCCCAGCTACTCAGAAGGCTGAGGTGGGAAGATTGTTTGAGCCCAGCAGGCGGAGGCTGCAGTGAGCCAAGATCACGGCACTGCGTTCTAGGCTGGGTGACAGAGAGAAAACTCATCCCCCTGTCCCCCCAACCCCACCACCCCGCTCAAAAAAAAAAAAGGATGTCAAAGGAATCTGAGCTGTCACTTGGATTTTTGTTTCAATTGAAAACAGCTTTCACTGGGCATATATATGTGCATTTAACCCTGTTTGCAAACCACTGTATCCATTTCGTATTGCTGCTGAAACAAATGACTGCCAATGTGTCATCTTGACAGTTCTTGAGATCAGTAGTTGAAAATGGGTCCCCCTGGGCTAGAGTCAAGGTAACAGCAAGCGGATTCCTTCTGGAGTCTCTAGAGGAGGGTCTGCCCCCTAGCCTTTTCCAGCATCTAGAGGCTGCCTGCATTCCTTGGCTCAGGCCCCTTCCTCCATCTTCAAAGCCCGCAGTGTAGCACCTTCAAATCTCTCTGACCTCTGTCATTACGTGGTCCTTCTCCCATCTGACCCTCCTGCCTCCCTCTTATAAGGACCTTTGTGACTACACTGAGCTCACTCAGATAACCTGGGATAATCTCTTCCATCTTGAGATCTTCATCTCATCTGCAAAATCCCCTTTGATATATCACGTAACACATTCAAAGGTTCCAGGAATTAGGGCGATGACATCTTTGTGGCGCTATTTTTCAGACTACCACCTCCTCTAACAAATAAAGAGAAGGAAGGATAGTCTGGCAACTGAGAGGAGGATGAGCTGGAAGTAGGCAGGCTGATGTTAGGGAGAACTGGAGGCTGCTGCAGGCTCAGCAAGGAAGATGCTGGTGGTCTGTGCTGGGGTGGAGAGGAAGGAATGGACACAGGATGTGTTTCAGAGTGAGGGCAGCCTGGTTATGGGCACTATCTGGTTTAAGTGGGCAAGGACTAGCAGGAGAGACATGGGAAGATAAGCCTGAGTATACAGATGGGCTGACTGGGTAGATGTTGGTGACCTTCAGAGGGCCCAAGGGGAGGAGCAGTTTTGCGGCAAGGACAAAGAGGGCATGAAGCGATGTGTTACATCCCAGACACCGATGAGACATCCGGGAGAGAAGCCCCTGAGTCAAGTGGATCCAGGGCCTTTTGGGTCCCTCCCCTTATTATGAGAATATATGGACTCATCTTTCACTTTGTTTTTAAATTTTTATTTGTATTTGCATTTATTTATTTATTCAGAGACAGAGTCTTGCTCTGTTGCCCAGGCTGGAGTGCAGTGGCACAATCTCAGCTCACTGCCACCTCTGCCTCTTGGGTTCAAGTGATCCTCCCATCTCAGCCTCCTGAGTAGCTGGGATTACAGGCACGGATCACCATGCCCAGCTAATTTTTGTATTTTTGGTAGAGACAGGGTTTCGTCATGTTGCCCAGGCTGGTCTCAAACTCCTGACCTCAAGTGATCTGCCTGCCTCAGCCTCCCAAAGTGCTCAGATTACAGGTGTGAGCCACCGTGCCTGGCCCTGCCTTGTTTTAAAAAATATTTATGTATTATCATTATTTTTTAAAGAGATATGATCTGACTGGGCACAGTGGCTCACGCCTGCAATCCCAGCACTTTGGGAGGCTGAGGTGGGCGAATCACTGAGTCAGGAATATGAGACTAAGCCTGGACCCATGACACCCTGTCATCTACCAAAATACAAAAAATATAGCTGGGCATAGGTGCCAGTGGAACTGTAATCCAGCTAGCATATGGGAAAGTGATGAGAGGCAGGAGAAATCCAGCCCTGAAACCCAGGAGTGGAAGGTTGAGTGGCGAGATCATGCCACTGCACACTCACAGCCTGGAGACAAGCGAGACTTCTGTCTCAGCCAACCAAAAAAAAAGAGAGCGAGAGAGATAATAATTTTTTATTTTTTTTTTTTTTTGAGAGCGGAGATCTTGCTATGTCTGCAACCAGGCTGGGGTGCAGTGGCCCGGATGCTCATCTCACGCAAGCTCCGCAATCCCCGGTCAGGCCATTCTCCTGCCTCAGCCCTCGGAGAGCTGGACTACAGGCGCCCATCACCTCCACCCGGCCTAGTTTTTTTGTGTTTTTTGTAGAGATGGGTTTACACCGTGTTACCAGGATAGTCTCAGAATCTCCTGACCATTGTGAATCCGCAAACCGTCTGCCATCACCAAAGTGCTGGGATTACAGGCTTGAGCCACTGCGCCCGGCCTTTTTTTGTGTGTGTGTGTGACAGAGTCTCACTCTGTCACCCAGGCTGGAGTGCAGTGGTGCGATCTCGGGTCACTGCAACCTCCGCCTCCCGGGTTCAAGTCATTCTCCTGCCTCAGCCTCCCGAGTAGGTGGGACTACAGGTGCGTGCCATCACACCTGGCTTATTTTTGTACTTTTAGTAGAGATGGGGTTTCACCACGTTAGCCAGGATGGTCTTGATCTCTTGACCTCGTGATCCACCTGCCTCAGCCTCCCAAAGTGTTGGGATTACAGGCGTGAGCCACTGAGACCAGTTGAGAGATAAGATCTTACTCTGTCACCCAGGCTGGAGTGCAGTGGCATGATCGTAATTCACTGCAATCTTGAACTCCCGAACTCAAGTGATTCTATTCTCCTGCCCCAGCCTCGTGAGTAGCTGGGACTCTAGGCACAGGCCACCAGGCCTGGCTATTTTTTTCATCTTTTGTAGAGATGGGAGTCTCTCTATGTTTCCCAGGCTGGTCTCAAACTCCTGGCCTCAAGTAATTTTCCTGCCTCAGCCTCCTTAAAGTGCTGGGATTACAGGTGTGAGCCACTGCATCCAGCCTCATCCTCCATCTTGATTTCTGGGTCATGATCTCTGTTTGACCCGAAGTTTTCCAATTCCAGATAAGAATTAAGGAGTTAGCTTGTATTCTGAAGCCAGAAGAGCATTGATATTTATCCCACATTGAGTTTGAGTTTATCAATCTTAAAAACAAGAATTTAAGTAATAAGTTATGTCACTTGCACAAGGACCCACGCACCTGTCATGTGACAGAGCAGTAGTTATGTTGCCTAATAAAACATACAATAAGTATGCTTGTGACTTATACATTTTAGAGATAAGGATGTTTTCTCTCCCTATCTGTCATATCTGCCTTGGAGATGTGCACAGGACAGATAGGAGAAGACAAAGTGTCTTCCTGTCTTTTGAGAAAGCCTGAGCTCATAGAAGATTCCATTCTGAGTGTCCCCAAGGAGAAGGGGAGAGGGGACTTTTAGAGAAACCAAGTTAGCAGGGAAGTCTCCCAGGTAAAGAAAGGGAAGTGAGGCTGCAGGTCCTGGAGCAGAGGAAGCAGGTGTCTGTCCCTGGCAGCCCCAGGGAGAGGCAGGGGCCTCATCAGGGATGGCCTCATAGAGCCCAAACCTGAACATCTTTGTGGACGGGGCAATGGCTGTGGCCTCAGTACCAGACAAAACCCTGACCAGAGGGTTTTTTGCTTGTTTGTTTTTGGTTGTTTTTTCCTGTAGGAAAACATGAGTCCTTTGGGATTACCTAGCTAAGAGGAGTCCAGTGGAGACTGAGACTGAATTTCCCGGCCGGGCAGGGGCTCACGCCTGTAATCCTAGCACTTTTGGAGGCTGAGATGGTGGGTCGCTTGAGTTCAGGAGTTTGAGACCAGCCTGGGCAACACGGCAAAACCCCGTTTCTACAAAAAAAATGCGAAAATTAGTCGGGCGTGGTGGTGCTCGCCTGTAGTCCCAGCTACTCTGAAGCCTGAGACAGGAGGATCGCCTGAGCCCAGGAGTTCGAGGCTGCAGAGAGCCGTGATTGTGCCACTGCACTCCAGCCTTGGCAACAGAGACCAGTTTGAAAAATAAAAAAAGACTGAATTTCCCAACAGCCTGGAAGATTGGAGTTTGATTTTTGCTTGATTTAAAGGCAATAAATAAATGAGATATTTTGTGCTACGTATTTTAAGCTCTTACACTTCTTGCTTTATATTCTGGGGTACCTGCATTTTTAGTGGTGTAATTTATTTGTCTAGATCTGTTTGCCCCTTAACCTGTAAACTCCCGGAAGGATCACGATATCATGGATGTTCCAGAACATACGCTCATCGAAGTGTAAAGGTTGATTGAGGTTGGGGGAGGTCTCTTCTTGAGAGCGATGGTCTCAGGATAGAAACTGGAAGGGGGCGCGTTTGAGATGTTAGGATTTCAGGAAGACAAGCTGTGACTCGGGAGTAGGGAAAAGTGGATTTTCTAGACGAAAGGTTAGGCAGAATCTGGGAACGGTCCGACTGGGGCACCAAAGGGGTCCCTGGCAAGCCCCGCCCCGGCCGGGGGACCGGCGCGGAGTGACGCAGCGCGGTTTGGCCGCTGTGGGGCGCCGTAGCCCGCGCCGTTGTCAGGGGAACGGGCCCAGCGCCGGACGAGGCCCAGCCAGTCTGGGCCTGGCCTGGCCGCCCCGCAAGCTTGCTGGAACCGGAGCCGGAGCCGGAGCCAGAGCCAGAGCCAGAGCCCGAGGACTCGCCGGCCCAGTCTCCGTCCGGGATGGGGCCCCGCTCCCGGGCGCGTTGCCGCCCAGTCCCGGGGACCGTCCCTACCGCGAGGGTCTGAAGCGCGGCTGCCCCGGGGAGGGTGGAAGGCCAGGCGTGGGGCCCGAACCTCTGGCTGACCTTGGCAGGGCCCATCTGGCACGGCCGCCGCGGCGCGCAGGTGAGGAGTCCCCGCCCGCTTTCTCACCTCGGAGCCTGGCTTGAGCCACGGGGTCGCGGATGCTGCCGCCTGGCCAGCTTTGGGCTCACTTCCGCCTGGAGCTGGTGGCCTGAGTTCCAGGGCCCGGGCAGAGCGCGGGGCTTCCTTTTAGCATGCATCAAGTTCACAGATCTTCCTTGAGCGCTTACTCTTTGCCAGGCTCTGTGCCAGGCGTGGGCACAGAGGACTCCGAACAGACGTGGCCCTTCTCCAGAACCCAGAGCATTAAGGAAGGTGGCTGGGAAGCAGGTGTCATATATGACTAAAGTGATTTCAGGTCGGGTTAGGCTCTCTGGTATTGAAATCTAGGGGTTGGTCATGGAGGGTCTGTTTTAAAAGGAAACCATGGGAAGAGTTTTTAATTTTTTCCTTTTTTTTCTTTGAGACGGAGTTTTGCTCTTGTCGTCCAGGCTGGAGTGCAGTGGCACGATCACCGGTCATTGCAACCTTCGCCTCCCAGGTTCAAACGATTCTCCTGCCTCAGCCTCCCGAGTCTGGTGTTACAGGTGCCTGCCACCACACCCAGCTAATTTTTGTATTTTTGGTAGAAACGGGGTTTCAACATGTTAGCCCTGGTGGGACTAACATGGACTTGAACTGGACTTGAACTCCTGACCTCAGGTGATCCACCCTCCTCGGCCTCCCGAAGAAGAGTTTGGATGAGTTTCACATTTGAAAAGCTCACTTCACTCTGGCTGCTGAGCAGCATGGTTGTGACACGACATACTGGGAAGTCAGCTGAGGGCCATCCTAGTTCTGCCAATCTAGCTGTGCCTCCTAAAATAACTCATTTAGTGCCTCTGAGCCTCAGTGTTCTCATGATGGGGGTGGATGTTCTGCGTGTTTTTTATGAGAAAGTGAGAGGCCAGTCACATCTGAAATCAATGACTACAGGGATCTGCAAGAATGGTTGGAAATGATAGGACCTTCCTTAGAGCTCTGTGAGAATTGAATGAGTGAATTCCACTGAAGCAGTGCCTGGCACAGAATAAGTGCCCTCTAAATGCTGGTGTTGGTTATTATCATGCAAACACTGTAGGAGAGCAATGCTGGTGGTTTGGATTGGGGTAATGGCAGCAGAGATGGTAAAAAAGTGGCTTGACTTCCTTTACTGAAGGAGAGCTGGGTTCAGACCTGGGCTGAGGGGTGGTCTCTGCTTTTGTGGAACTGTTGGTTCACTGTGGGAGACGGGTTTATAAACAGATAATCACCATGAGATGCAGTAAAAGCAACAGTGGTGCTTAATTAGCCAGATTGTTTTGTTTTGTTTTTGTTTTTCTTTCTTTGTTCTGTCACAACTTTGTTCTTAATGACTGTTGCGCTGGGTGTTCCCCAAGGCTGGCTCCTGCAGTCATATGAGTTGATTTCCTGGTTGAAATCAACAACCTTGGCCTCTCTTCATTGGCCTTGTTTCTATTCTGTGTTACTCCCTCCTTCTTGTCCCCTTTCCTTGGCTTCATTTGTATCCCAATTTACAATGGTTGCTTCAGGAGGAGAATGGCACAGAAAATGTTTGCAAACCATGTCGACTCAGGAATAATTGGGGTTTCAAGCTTTTCTTGCCATGGCATCAGACCTTTTTTTTTTTTTTGACAGAATCTCGCTCTCTTGCCCAGGCTGGAGTGCAACGGCGTGATCCCGGCTCACTGCAAGCTCGACCTCCTGGGTTCAAGAGATTCTCCTGCCTCAGTCTCCTGGGTAGCTGGGATTACAGGCGCCCAC